TCGGCGCGGTCATGAATTGTTTCGGAGGCACTAAAATACCGCAGTTAAAGTTTAAGTAGCCTGTTGGGTGATCACAGAAAACGGAAGGGTTGGGATCGGAAAACAAAGTTCGGAGTGCCTGATCATTTCACTTAACTTATTGATGTTTTCTGGAGCAAACCGTCTGCTTGAAGCTTGTGACCTGGACTTCGAGTAAAGAGACGATAGTTCGTTCTACTAAATATGGTAGGGGAAAACTTTTACGTAGAGTGATCAGACATCTTCAATGGGGGGCGGTGTTCTACAAGAAGCAAATTAAGAAGATCAACCAACCCCAAATCTGGAAATGCGTCAAATCTCGTGGGAAAGTGACAATATTTCGAAGACCTAAAGTGGTTAAGAAGCAGGAATTATAATTATTTAAGTCACCACAAATGATATAAACTGAAGTATCTACATATACAATAAATGTAGTTGAAAGAGTCATGAAAATCATTAAGAACATTAGATGAGAAAGAGGGGGGAATATATACATTCACAAGAATGAGTGACCGGGAAAAGCGAACTACCCACAAATCCGCAAGTTCCGCAGTAGAGATGAAACCAGAAACTGCTCTTTTCGATAAGTTATCTAAAATAAGTTTTATTCACTAATTAAATTAGATCCAACTGAACATTTTGACTGACAGCTTATCTAAGTCTTTTTTCTCCTTTAATACGATAACGTCCCCTCATTGCTTTAAATGAACTAAATTATTGAGCAATTGAGCAAATATTTCATTTTCGAATATTATCAAAAATCCAGTTTTCGGCACCATTTAATTTTATCTGCTTTTTACTAGACCCAAATATTCCACAGTCATAAAGTCCATACCAAGCAAAAGCTCCGCAAAGCTTTAGCTTCAACCCACAATCCTCTAACCTTGACGCACAAACAGTAGTCATACCGTTGTAGATGATTCATATCAAAAAGCACCGCAATATTTTGAGCTCGACGAATGTTGCAATATTTTATTTTCTAAAGTGCTATTACTCCATCGTTTTACATTGTCTTGTTCCTCTCAACCGTGAAGTTGAACAGACAAATTCCCTCTGATCCTTTCTGCGATCTGATTGGATCATGTCCCGCGATTTGCGGCACTTGGAATCCCACACCCCAACACGAGACTGTCCGATTACCGGCTTGTACTTTCTGCAATGCTCTTGTTATCACGTCCAGTCCATCCGTATGCTGATGGCATTCCCGCTTTACAGTCGAAGTTCACTAGACTTGTCTGAGATTCGCGACTGTAAACAGGGTGTGATTTCTCGCTCGGGTTAGCTGAGCAAGCACCAGGCCCCTTGTTGCGGCTAAACTATCCGACCGATCGATAAATGAACCCGACCGAGCGTGTGATTTTGGGGCCGGCACCGGAAGAGGATATGTTCCGAATCTGATGCTGCCTAAGTGTTGGTAGAGAATCACCACAGAAGAATCAGTTGTGGAACGATGCGCATATGTTGACATTGCAAAGCTTGGTTAAGAAATGAGGTGTGGCAGGCGTATACTGCACTATATGTTGAGTGAAGAAGATTTAAAAGATGTACCCGTACCGTCAAATGATTTGATACATCTCTTGCAGCTTTGGTGTTTCCGTGTAAAATGCGATAAGCCTTTGAGTAAAAATCTCAAATGTATCTCAAACGATATGGTGTTTTGCATTCACAAGCCCTAAAATAAATCAAAAGTTGATACCGCAAAAAAGTAAGGACTTACCGTTCGGCATCTCTACTCAAAGAGAACTCCGCTCTTGAGATGTGTGCACGTTAAAATGCCGAGGAAAATAAACAAATCTACTCCCAATTCTACTCAGTTTAGTAACGCTGCAACACTGGATATAATTACGACGGTTGAGACTCAAGAATTTCGGGTTTTGTCTAAAGCGTGATGGGGAAAGGTGTAGTTGTTCCACCACGAGTCACGCCGTCACCGTCGGTGAACTTCAATTGCGGTGCTCTCTTCTGTGAGGTATTCATTTACTCACATTTGCAGTTGAACATCGTGCGAGTCATCTGACTGATACTCATCAAGGTCGGAGAATGGTCACACGTGACGCAACGACAGTTTTTTTTAATCATACTTTAATCTGGCAGCAAAGAACAAAAGAATAACATTTAATTTTGCGGAATATGCCCATTATCAAAGAATACATTACAAGTGAGCGTACGTCACTAAATACCTAATATCATGACAAATATAAGCTGTCTATGCTGACTTCATCTGTGATTGTCTACAAACTCAAGTGCAAATGCCATTTAGATTGATCGAAAGACAAGGCAGTTATCTCAATGCTGGGTCATACCTGGCGGGAACACAGCTGTGTCAAGCTCAATTGTTGCTCTTTTGGTAAAGATGGAACACTCGATTGACATGTTTGGTGATTTAAGAATCTGAGATAACGCCAGTCAAGGGGCTACGCATTACAGTTTCTGGACTGCGAACCGCAGGTCAATGGTATCGACCAATGAGAAGCCATGCGGTTCAAACCGCTGTGTCGCAAAAACGTTATAAACAGGCGATTGGCAAAGATCTGTTTGAACAATGATATTTCTTTGGACATATTATTCAAGTCCATTGATTTCTTCCAATAAACAGAACCGCTACTTCAGTGGCCTTATGGTAGCGTCTTGCTGATGGTGGAATTTGTTACATGGATACCTATTGCGATTCACGATTGGTGTTTATCCCGAGTACTGTAACATAACTTCGGCCATCGCAATCATTTGTCGAGCCTCATCAGTGATCAGGTTTCGGATGTTAACGACCGTCTTGTGAAGCCTAATCTGTGCACACAACGAAACTTGATTTAAGCACTCCAACTGCCCTGGAAGAGGGAAGACAAACACGTTTGTGCCCAGGAGGATGACGTAACATATTTACTTAATTATTGCGTAGTCCAATCATCATTCCAGTTTTTTTCTTTTTTTTTTGGGGGGGGGGGTGAACTCATTACAACACGCACAACTCTTCCGTTTTTGCTGAACCTGACTGATTTTTACTTCATATAACTAAGAATACCGCTTCCCTTTCATGACGTTTTGCGAGTTCGATGTGCAGGAAAGAATAATGTAAAAATAACGATTTGAGTGCTTATTACGTAACAATATTACTACTACTACTAATAAATTGTGTTAACATCGATCAAAACTCTGATCAACGAGGGGAAAGTCGGTTTATTAAAATAATCGTAAATCTGAGTGTATAAAACAAGTCTGTTCAGTGATGTCTGCTAGCACAGATGTATTTATGATTTCCAATGATATTGAACAACCCTAAATCGACAGAATTGGCTTCCACACTGAAACTATTGCCAGGATCTCACACTGACTTTCCTTAGAAGTACAATCACCTGACACCGTCGTAAAAAAGTATGAATATCTCGCTACCACCCTAGTAGATAATTTATCACACGCACACACGTGACCACTGTCACAAAAGTTGATGAATAACCAGAGAAAGTGTTTCACTTTAGGCTATTTTGCAGATAAAATACGGCTTTGCTGTGTTTAGTCCATACATCCGTACACACATTCCCTATTCCAACTGCTATCCCCCCTTACATAGAAGATTATTTCCCATTTACCACTGTTCTTTGTGGGTCTGCGTTTGTATGGGTGTATATGAGTGTGAGTGAAATTACCAGTTACTGATCCCCATTCCTTGTATCCATTGTACCGCCAGCTTAAAAACATACCGTTGTTTTCAAGGTATACCAAGCCTGATAGAGATAGCTGTCCTGGATTTGACTTATCGTTCAAATCAATGTTGGTGAATCACGACGAAACTTCATGTGTTTTGCAAGTGATTTTGATAGCGTCGCTCAACCAGTAGTACACTCCAGATGATCTAAAAGTGGAACTGAGATTTACTGTGTGATTCGGGAACAAATTAGCTGGATCCGAAAGGATTCTATTTTTAAAATCAATTTTTTTTTGATTGTCTGACATTCGATCAGGAATGGTCAGAACGGATTTGCTTGAGTAATCA